ATTTGAAGATGTGGAAGAAGTGAAGGAGGCAATGATTTGAAGATGTGGAAGAAGTGAAGGAGGCAATGATTTGAAGATGTGGAAGAAGTGAAGGAAACACGAGGAAGGTGCTGTCAACCATCTAATTAGATGAGTTTGAAAAAAATGTTTCCAAGCAGAGAATCACAGATTTGACAAATGTATTAAGTATAACGGAAAGTATTTTGAAGGTGGTAAGGTTATTTTGTAAAAAAATTAAATCAAATAAAATTAAACACACAGCTTTCAAAATAAATATCCATTTGGAGGAGGGGGGCACCCTCTTGTATTTTGGACAAGTTTCCAGGAGAGACCATTCCTTGCAGAAGGGCAGCATGTTTGGTAAAGTGGAGGGGCAACAAACAGAGGAAGGTCCTCAATGAGACAGATGTACATAGAAGCCACAATCTTGGGTTCAAAAATGGGGACAATTGTGATGATGGCACAAGACTGAGCAGTGTTTCCTGTGTTGTGCACAAGGTTGCTATAGCTGATGTGATGGCACATGTGGTTGTTACAATAACAATCTAAGGGAGACCTCATGCAGAGCCAGACAAGTTCATCACTCAGCAGAGAAGTGTGTGGGGCTGTGATGCTGGGCAGGTGACAGTGGAGCTTGCAGACTAAGATGAACTAGGAAGAAAGGCCTGTCAATCTATTCTGAAAAATCAGTCAATAAAAAGCCTTTGGCCCCATTCATAATGGATCCTGGGAAACCAGGCAGCATTTCCTTCCATTGTAATTGGGCTCACTCAGAGTCAGGGGCTGATTCAGTAGCATGGGGATAGGGGAGCCTAATTAATTTAGATTCAGCAAATAAAGGGCTCTGGTGACATTGACAAGAGTCAGCGCAACGGGGTGGGTGGGAGATAGATGCATAATTGGAGAGGACTGAGGGGACCATTCTGAATACACAGGGGAAAATCAAACAGGGCACAGCATAAAAAATAAACCTCACAGGAGCACAGGGCTTCCATTAATTTTCCCCTCCTTCCTTTTTAAAAGAAAATTTAGAATCATGTGATCCTTTCCCGAAATTCTGGTCAAACTGCACAGTGACAGGGATGTGGGAAGGGAGGACCGGGAAACTGATAGCAACGATGGCTGCATGCCCCCGGACAAATGACAGAACTGTGGGTGAAGGGATAGGCCGGATGTGGTCAGATTTGAAAAAATATATACATGTATAACTTATTACAGGTTCACAGGGGTGGTAGGGTGGGGGAGAAAGGGGATAAAGAGGAGCTGATATCAAGGGGCTCAAGCGGAAAGAAAATGCTTTGGAAATGATGATGGCAGCATCTGTTTAAGTTCGCTTGATATCACTGATTTATGGATTGCTATAATATGGGTAAGAGCCCCCAATAAAATGATCCTCCTAACAAAGCAGAGTGATTTGGCAACTGAGGATATATTTTCCTTCACCCCAGGTTTGCCATTACCAGGAGGAAGTTGACTCTTATCGCTGGACTACCTGACCAGCAGTTATATATACAACCAACCACTGTATTTCACCTGCAATACAGTGGACCCGCACGAACAGCATGCACACACGTGTAACAACCAAACCAAACTCACCGTCACTGAGTCATGTCACCTCCTGGCGACGCTGTAGGACACGGGAGACTTGTCCGCGAGCTTTGAGATTTTAACTGTTTGACGGTTTACCATGGCAGAGAGCCCCGCCTTTCTCTTGCAGAACAATGGGTGGTTTCAAACTGCAGCCCAATGGGTAACCACTACACCACCAGGGCTCCGCCACAAAATGGGCAGAAATGACAAAATCATGTAAAAAGTCCCGCCGTTGCTTTCCTATGCACACACTGCGCAGGCCTTGTGACATCACCAAAAGTGAGCTCGGGCTTCACTCGTGTACTGGATGGTCCAAGATGATTACTTTTGATTAGAGCTGTCTAACAAAGGTGCAAGCCCTGGTCACGCGGTCAAGGGCTGAGGTTGGTGGGATAGCAGCACGAGGAAGGAAGCCGCTGAGACGCTGTGTTTACTTGGAGGAGGTGGGTGGCTAGGTCTGAGAGCAGAGGAGTTCACTGTAGCCAATCTGCCCCAAGTATAACTCACTGGATGTGGGCAGAGGGTCAGGTTGAAGGTTATGAGCGGAGGTGGGTCCAATGACAGGTGTCAGCCATTGCCCACTCATGGCCGGGTCCTCCTGTCCCAGCCCCATGTGAAGCGGAGCGGGATGGTATGAGTAACTGCACTACCTGGCCTTGGGGAAACCCAGGGGAGCCATTGGGCTCCTCTCATCTGAGTAAGGGATCCTTGACCCCCCACGCGCCTGGCTCTCATGTCTGACACCGCGTCTGCAATGGCTCAAGAATGGCCAGCAGGGCAGTGAGACCGAACACAAGGTGCTGGCAGCAACATGCTGTGCTCTCTTTTTTGAGTGGCCTCTCTGGTCTGGGGTTTACAGACAGACCCAAGTGTGTCCCGGGCTGAGGCCCGTCACCCTGGTGTGAGTGTATCTGGGTTGGGAAATGTGTTTTTGTGCTGAGCAGGGAAGGAGTCTGCTGGGAGAGGGGCTGCTTTAGAAACTCGGTGGTAGGCTTGTGAGAGTCTGCTGCTGGGGACCAAACTTCCTGCTTCGACAGGCTCCATGATGAACACAGACCTGGAAATCCATTGGACAGAAAGGGAAACTAGAAACTGAAGCTGCAGCACTTATTAAAAATTTGGCAGAGTGCACCTCTGAAAACCCCATGGAGGGTGGCTCAGTAAGCAGAAGCAACAACCCATCAGGTGACAGGCACATTAGATGCATATGATTCTGGTAACAGAGTTCGGAAATTAATCTTGGGAAATTCAGTTCACTTAGGGAAGGACAAACATACGAGATGGACTGGAATTCTCTCCACAGGTTATTCCACAAATACTGATGTGGCCTGAACCAGTCAGTGTGCACGTACATCGTTGCCATCTGCCTTACCTGGTCATCGATGTACTCTAGCCACTGGAGCCCCAGGTTGGTGACAATTCTTGGAGTGCCGTCGTCCACCGGGAGGATGTCTACTCGGAACCTCTGAGGAGCAGCTGTCATCATCTGGTGGAGGCCGGACAAGACACTCGTCATTCACAAACACGCAAAGGCCTCTGGCTGCAGAGCCGGTGACACTGGGCGCCCTGGCATTTCAGAGAGTCCCAGATGGGCCACTGAGTCACAGTTTCCATCCCTTACTGCCACCGGGTGTGAGGCTTATGGTACAACGTTGACAACATGAAAATCACACTGGCAGAAAAGGAGCAGGAGAGCAAGTGCCCCTCTTGCTGGACTCCCCCAGCCACCAGTGGACGCGGCTGTTCACACGCCTCTGTGGACTTCAGTTGGGCTCACGACTATTCTGAGGTGAGGCAATCGACAGAATGTTTTCTGTCAGGACCCCTTACAGTCCTGTAAGAGGCTGAGGCAAACAATCAATCAAGTGTTACTGTCTAGAGAGACAGACGTTAGTCAGAACCACAGGGAGATGCCCCTCAGGAGAACGGCCATGAAAACAAAGGCACGTTAACCAGCAAGTGAGACGTGTGGGCAAAGCTGTGGAGACATCAGAACCTTCATCCACTGTGGGGGATGGGGGGGATGGGATGCAAAATGGTACTTCTCCTGCGGGAAACGTGTGATGATTACTCAAAATAGTCAACACCGAATCACCCCAGGACCCTGGAATCCCCATGGTAGGGATAGACGCAGAAGAAGAGGCAGCGGGGGCGCAAACGGAGGAGACCTGAACACCAGTGTTCACTGCAGTACTATCCATGCTGGCCCAAAGGTGGAAACAACGGAAATGTCTGTCACCAGAGGAGTGGGTAACAAAATGTTGTACACACACACACACACAAACACACACACACACACACACACACGGAATATTACGGAGAGAACTGAAGTTCTGACTTCTGCTATAACATCATGAATGAACCCTGAAAACCTATGCCAACCCAGTCACAAAAGGGCAAATACTGTATGATCCCCACTATGTGGACTAGGCAAACAGAGAGAGACTGAAGCTTATTAGTGACTCCCCTGGAGAGGGGAGGAGACAGGGAGAGGGGAGGAGACAGGGAAAGGGGAGTCGTTGGTGGAGGGACACCAAGAGTTTCTGTTAATAGTGGTAGAATGATTTGCAAAAGGATGGTGGTACTGATGATGCAACATGATGCATGTCATCCATGCGACGGCATTTTACATGGAAGAAGTTCCGGATTAGCAAATGCTGTTACACATGCAGCCCCGGCGTTGCAAAGGAGAGCGCATGATCCCAAGTCAGTCTGGAAGTTGAATTTGTGTGTAAATCAGGGTGGAAGGAGAGAGCTCTTCTTCAAGGCCGGTGCAAGGCAAGGGGCCCTGGTGGCACAGGGTTAAAGTGCTCAGCTGTCCACCCAAACCCTGGTGACTTAAACCCCAAATCTGAGCAAGAGGTGGCAGCTGCTTTTCGAAAGGTTTACAATCTTGGAAGTCCCACAGAGCAGTTTCTACTCTGTCAACTCCAGGGTTACCAGGAGCTGAGCTCAACTCAGTGGCAGTGTTTTGTTTTTAGTGCAAGGACTGCTATGCTACTTCCAGATCTAAAATCTGCGTCTGCGCAAGTGGGGCTTTTGTTGCCATTAGGGGTTGGTCAATCACTTCACAGTGAGGGTTCATTTACATAGTATCACGTTATGAGCTGTTCATAAGCTGGACATTCCTAACGCAGGAGCTTAGCATCCTTACATCGACCACAAAGAACACAAATGTTAACATGGAAGAAGTTTTTGTGGGAGGAAATCTGCTTCCTTTCCCCTGGAGGGAGGACTTATTTGCATAGGAGGGAAAGGCAGAAGAAATAACAGAAAAAACAAAAGCAAGTTCAATTTCACATTTTGTTCTTATACACATACAAACACACAGTCTGACCTGGTACCTCACTCTTCCTGCGTGAATACAGCAAGCTGATATTCACAGAGCAGCTTTTTAATCTTCTACAACTCACCTGCTAAATCATTTCCATTTTAACTGACAGGGTCCCTCTGGAGACCCGCTGTGACCGTTCATGTTTATCACAGTGGTGGCCCTCTTGCTGATACATTCTGAAATCGGGTTCCCCCCTCTCCCCCCACCACCATTTTTGGAGAGTCAAATCCATTGGCGAGTACCAAGTTTGGGAAGGAAAAAATGAAAGCCATTGGCCTGCCAGGATGTGGTGCAGTGCAGGTATGGAAGTGACAGGGAAATCCCAAGAGCCACCCCACAAGCACACAGGCAAACTGAGACGGAGGCAGGAGGATCCTTCTTACAGAAGGATGTCTCATCATTGGAGGAGAAAAGGCGCTCTACCCCTGGCCTGAGAAGCTGATCTTTCGTTACCCGGGAAGCAGGGTAGGACGTGGCCACCTCTCGCAAAACGAGCCCCTGCGAGTCAGACTCAGACAGAGGTGGGAGACGTAAGGGGACAGGTCTGCCTTTCTGCTCTGCTGCACTTGTTCCCAGGGGAGGTTGCCGGGACTTCTGGAGAACTGGCTCAGGAATGAAGGGCCAACAAGGGCAGTGACAGGAGGAAGCCGTGACGTGGGGAAGGGAGTGAAGGGGAACTTCAAGTGTCTCCTGGCAGCTGACGAGCCTCCAACCAAACCAAACTCACTGCCTTCGAGTTGCTTATGACTCAAAGCAGTAGAACTGCCTCTGTGGGTTTCCAAGACCGTAATCTTTACAGGAGTAGGAAGCCTCATTTTTCTCAGGCAGAGCAGCTGGTTGGTGGTTTGAGACCACTGGCCTTGAGGTTGGCAGCCCAATGACGAAGCCCTACAGTACTTGGGCTGCTAAGACCTGATGGCAGAATGGAGCAATTCTCTCAGGAAATAAAGAAAAGCCTCTCTACCTCCTTCACAAGGCGGCCCTGAAATGATGACAATGCCCATTTACTGAATGCTTCCTCGGTGCCAGGACATATCATCCCTGTTTTACAGGAAGGAAAACCAAGGCTCAGAACAGCCAATTGATTTCTTAAGACTCTTAGCTGGTACGTGACAGAACCAGAATTCAAATCAGCATCATTTGGGAAAAGAAGGTTAGGTCGGAGGAAGTCTTAGGAGGTACTGGTCTGTGGAAATCCTCAGGGGTTCCAGTCTGAGCGTCTCCGGAGGAATGGAGATGGTCTGATGATTCCTTGGGGAAATATAAACTGTTTCCCATGAACCTTGCTCCCTTTTGTCCCTTTGCTTGAAAGTCCTCTGATCATTGTAAACCTGTTAATTACTTCCTGGGACTACTGTAGAGCCCGTGTCTTGTCACTTAGTTTAAGGTATAGATCTTACTGGATTTTGAGTTTGAAGGCAGAAACCCTACTGTTTTCTTCAGTCAGCACTTGCAAGAAAAAACGTAATTTCTTGAATCTACCTGGTTTCTGTCTTTGACTAAAACAGTGTCCAGGCTCTCCAGGACCTCTTGACAGCCAGCCACAAAGAGATACATCAGAGATAATCTTGAGTCAAATTCAAAGAGTGTAGGATGCATAAAAATAACAGCAATAATAATTACTTTTTATTGACTGCTCATATCAAAAGTGATATTAACTGATCACTTTTATTAACTGCTCATATTTGCCAACAGTGTTATGCACTTTATGTGGATTACTTCCTTTGATCCCTAGATTAAATTAATTCAGATGACATCACTTTTACAGATGAAAAGGAACTGGGGTGGTGCTATGAGTTAGGTAGTGGTCTGCTCACTGCAAGGTCGGTGGTTCAAACTCACCAGCCACTCCATGGCAGCAGGATGAGGTTATCTATTACCAGAAAGATCTACAGCCTTAGAAATTCTACACAAAATTGCAGTGAGTTGGAACTGGCTCAAGGACAGTGGGTTTGGGGTGAAAGACAGAAAAGACAGAGGCTTCAGAATGATAAGTTGTTTGCCCACGGTCAATCTGCTAGTGAGCGAGAGAACAAGAATTTGAGCCATGTTATATTTGACATTAAAAAATCCCCTATTTTCTTCCAGCCAACATTTGGCACATGCTGTTCTATCTCCCTCTCCATTGTCTTTGCCTCTCACCTCTTTCCCCGCCTCCTCAATCATAAAGAAGGGGTTGGTGCCATCAGACACAGTGTAGGTGAACCGGTCTTTGAGGGAGTTACTGCCGTCATGGCTGTAGCTGACCCGGTTCTGGTAGATGTCCTCCATGGTGAAGGTGGAGGTGAGTCGGAAGTGCTGTCCATCGGTGGTTCGCTCGATGGTGCCGTGGCGTGGGGGCTGCACGATGGTGAAGGTGATGAACTCAGCCTGGCCAAGAAGCGGAAGGAGGGGAGGGAAGTTCATCAGGGAAACCGGATGAACGAGGGATGGTTGACCGCGGTCAAGAGGGGCAAAACCTACCTACAACGCTCAAATTAAGCTCGCATTTGCTTTTTGCTACCAACAATAAAATGAAGGAGAGAAGCCTATGACGACCACAGGATCTTATGTAAGGATCTTCGGTTTCATGACTTATGATGTTCAAATCGGCTCTGCTGAATCGACTGTTTCCACGGATGATTATTTAATGGGTTCTCATTGTTGAGAACCTGAACTTGTCACCTTTTCCACATCAGTTAATGTGCACAGCTGCTCCGTGAGGTTCCAGTCCACCCAGAGGCACCACAAAGGAAGGTCTGGTGATCCTTGACGTCACTGGCTATAAGGGGCTATAAGGAGTTGGCGTGGACTCGGTGGCAGCTTTTTAAAAAAACCCACTAGACTGTAACAAGCTATTCATTTCTTTCCCATCCATCCATCCCTCCTCCTAATTTTTAAAACTTTTTAATACAGAGTTCCTTACACACCAGAAGAACCGCTACTTTCTCAGGCAGAATTCCTGGATCTGAGGGGTTCTGTAAGTGGGGAACGAAAGACACCTACAACTCTGCCGAAGGCTTTCCCAGCGGCTTCCCGTCCACGTAGACTGAAACACAGAGGACTGACAGCGTCGCTAGCACCCTCTGTAACCTGGCCCCACGGTTCCTCCCTGCCTCCTGCTTCTCCTCTTCTTAGTCCCTGGGTGCCAGCCTCTGGCTCCGGTTACTGCGACTCAAAGCTTTTAAGCATACGTGGCCACTGTGTCTTGACACTGGTGGTTCCTCTGTCCAGAGGGTGGTTTTCCCACGTAATGGCAGAGCTCGCATTCTCGTTTCATGGTATCTGCTCAGATGCTGCCTGCGCAGAGACCTGCCATGACCACGGTCGAAAGACACCGGGCCATCAGCATGCTCCAGCTCTTCCCTCCCTGCACTTTTCTTCAGCGCACTTGCTGCTGGGACGGGATATGGCCTCCCTGTTTCCCCACCCTTAAAAGACGGCAAACTCACGGAGGCGGGACGCTGTAACTGAATTCCCCTCAACGTGGACTTCTGCATTTAGAACAAAGCCTAATAATGAGCAGATAACGCATGTTTGCTGAAAGAATGATTATATGAGGGAATAACAGAGAGTAGGGAAGACTTAGGATGAGCAGTCAGTGTCGTGGCATTCTCACGTGGGAGCTACATTTTGTCAGAACGTTTGCTACTCTCCTCGGGAAGCGTCTTGGTCTCCCTCCACAGGCCCCACTGTACTGCATCAAGCCTAGTTCTTTGAGGAGGTCAGAACAATTTGTCAGCGTGGGAGGTCTGGATGAGGGAGGGGAAAAAGAGGAAAATGTGTCTAGGTGTAGAGAATCTCTGTGTGCTCTACTAAGGAATAATGAGGGCGCTGCATAAAATGCCATCTACCTGTTTCCCACAAATCATGATAACAATCAACATGTTAAAAGAATGCCATTTACATGTTATTAGATGAGAGGATAAAGGGGTGTGAGAAAGGGTGCTAAGTGGCTTGGTCTCAACTGTATTTGGCTTCCCTTTCTGGAAGGCCAAAGTAAATTTCTGACTTTGAATCCACTCACCTCACCCAGTGGCCCCACCTTATAGATGCTGCTTGATCAGCCCCTCACGAGCAAGCAAACTGAGCTGGGCTCTCTTACCTCTGTGTCTGCATCGACCGCCTTGAGCTCAAACTCTGTGATGGTCTTCCTCACGCCCTCCTGGACCCGCATGCCGGGACACTGGACGACGGGCAGGGAGTCATCCACAGGGTGAATGGTGATGTGGAAAGTCTGGGTGACCTAGGAAGATAGGAACGTACCAGGGGATCACCTGTCATGATACCCACCCCATCCAGAGGTGCTCTCTACTTTCCCTGTCACCCCATACCTGGCAAGCTCCTAGGACCAGGAAGCTGATGGAGAGCACTCTGGGGAAGGGCCCCGCTAGCTATCATCATTCCCGGCACTCACCTGAGAGAAGACAGGGCGCTCCTATCACCAATCCCTGCACTCATTCCCCTCGAAAGGACTACGGGGAATCACTCCTCATTCTAGGAGGGTGTCGAGTTCACCACCTACCTCACTGGCTCCGTCAGAGAGTGTAAAACGGAAGGCATCCGTGTGTTCCTCGGCGGCACTGGAATGGACATACTGAATGGTCTGTGAAGTCAGGTCGGCTTGAGTGAAGGAGCTAATCTGGACACCTAGCCAAGGAGGGAGAGAGAAACAGAAAAAGTGGTGAAATGCTTGTCCTACTTCCTAGGTTAGCGAATGCCGTTCTGACCAAAGACAGAGAATCCTGGGTAGTTTTCTTCAAGCATTTATGTTCTTCCTTCGAAGACACTGTTTTCACACCCACAAAAAGGTTTTATTGACTTATACTTTGTGTACGATACAATTCAATGGTTTAACTATTAAAAAGAGTTTTTTGAATCATCACCACAATAAAATTTCAAGTATTTTCATTTTTGTATCCATTGTTATTAGATCCTCATTTCCTCCCAACATCCCCTGTCATAACCTAAGGATCTATTAATTTATTAGTTATTGTATCTGCATAGATTTACTTATCCTGGATTTACATCAAGACAAACATGTAAAAAAGACACCATCAGCACTCACAAAACAAAGCACAGATAAATTTCAGAAGAAAGCAGAAAATAATAAAAATGAGAACAAGTTCAAAACTGGGTCAAAAGGGAAAACAAATGGCAAGAAGTTACATTCACTGTTAGAAGTGATTGCAGGGTTTTGTTTCCAACAACCATATAGGAGCATGTTCATTTAGTGTGTTAGACTGGGTAGACTAGAGAAACAAATTCAGAGACACTCATATATATATGTAAGAAAGAGCTTTATATACAAGAGCAATTGTATATTGAGAAAACATCCAAGCCCAGTCCAGATCAAGTCCATAAATCTGATATTAGCCCATACATCCGATACCAGTCTATAAATTCCTCTACAGACTCACGCAACACATGCGATGATGCCAGATGCAGGAAGATCATAGGCCTGTGGGTGGTAAGTCTTGTGGGTCCAGTGGCAGTGGAAACATTTCAGCGCTGCCAGGGGTCTCCATGTGGCTCCTCAGCTTCAGGGCTCTAGCATAGCTCCATGTATCTTGTCCGCAGGAATGTCTTCCATGTAGTGACCATGTGTCCCACCTCCAGTGAGCTATTTATCTCATTAGCACCTCCAAATGCGGTCATCAAGCTGTGACCCGATTGACAGGCTAAACTCCACCCCTTCACTTTTAAGTCTCAAATTGACAGCAGATTATGTAACTACCACAGTTAGCTAGGCCTGTACTATGTGCTTCAGGAGCCATGGTGGTGTAGTGGTTATGTTGTGGGTTGCTAACAGCCAGGCCAGCAGTTTGAAATTGCCAGCCCACTCTGAGGGAGAAAGATGAGGCTTTCTACGCTTGTAAGGAGTTACAGCCTCAGAAATCCCCAGGGTAACTATGAATTAGACTCAATGGCAGTGAGAATGGTCTTTGTGCTATACACCAGCTCTACAACAAACGAAAAACCAAAGCAGTTGTCACTGAGTTGATTCCAACTCATGGAGCCCTCAGATGTGTCAGCGATGAACTATTCAGTTTTTAGGTACCAGAGTAACAAGGTACGGCTACACGTATCCGATTTCTGTGACTGGTGAACCATTGCTTGTCCCCACAGTTCGTTGGCTATTCCTCAAGATCCCTCTTAGTTCCGGGTCTGGGATTCTAGCTTCTCTTTTACCATTTTAGGCAGGCAGACAATAACAAAACTCATTGCATGACTTCGGGACTTGGGCAAATGTTCTAGATCAAATTTCAAGTTACCTAGAAAAACCAAGAAAAGCAGTAACCCTTCATAACATGATTCGGAGAAAATACGTTAAGCCCATTCCCTGCCCCTCATACCTACCATCGTGAGTCATTTTAGCTGTTAACAACATAACCAAGCAAAACCTAAAGTCATTTTAATAATGTTATGGCACACAAAATGAATACCATCTGTTTTTAAATGCCAACAACCTTTATCAAAACAGTCCAGAATTCTTGTTTCTATCTTTGGGGCTTTAGGGCCCCATCTACTGGTACCAGTCAAGATTAACAGCTCCCCCACCCACCCCACCCCCCCGCAAAAAAAAAAAAATTTATCTTTTGGTCTCTCAGTACAAATTCCTTCTTTCTGATTTTGGGCATTGAGTTGTTAAATCCATTTAATCTAGTCCGTTAGTTTGGCCCAGAAATTCATTTGCTGCTTCCTGGGATTTAGTATTTGTCATTGTTAATCCTGCCAAAACCAATCGGACTTTTTTATGAAAAGCAAAGAGGTTCTGCTTGGATTGATATCTAACTGTGACATCAGTAGCATGGTTTTATCTTAAAAATAAAACAAAACCAAACAAAAAAGGGCCTGTATGGTTTCTTTCTGCAACTCTCTTTATCATCTGGAATTTGTCAGCCAGATACAAGAGCCTCCTGAACATGGGGGCATTAATTTTTTGATGAGGCATTTGATATTTCTGTGCTCGCTACATCAGCTCCTGACAGGCAAGAAATGTAGTCCCTGTCTTAGAGCTTTGTCTTGTAGCTCTGGACAGAAATCCATACCATTCTTTAAAAATTTAATAACTTCAGACTAACTTCACTGAGAAATTTAAATCTCCTATCTCTGCTGAGAATCCATCCTGACAACTCCGGAGGAAAAACCTGTCTGGATTCTCACAATCAACTGGCCACCTAATTCACTCTTCCCCTGATGAAAGTCTTGGAGAGACTGGGAACGGACAGAGGTCTGGAGTTGATCATATCTATATGTATATGTATATATGTATATATATGATACAGATCATATAGATATCATATCTATACATATATATGCTGTTATTGAGAGCATACACCGATTCAACATAACTGTGTCATTGATTATATTCTTTGAGTTGAACAACTCCTCCCACTCGCCTTTGAGTTGTCCCTCCCCTGTTAACATAAACGCACGTCCACTCGCCAAGTTTCCCATTTAATGCCACCACGAACATCACTGAGAGTCGCTGCTGAGGTCCAACTAAAGACCGCCGGAAGTGGGCAGTTCACAGTTCTCAGGTGATTGGCCTCAGCGCTTTTGCTCTATCTCGCGGCTCACTGTGTCTCGTCAGAGATCTAAAAAGCTTGCCAAGTGTTATTCAAACCACAACAATTGGCCTCTATCGGCCTGCAGCAATGTAATGTTATTATTCCCTTTACTCAGCTCTATCTATTGTTTTCGCTGAAAACTGAGCAGTGAGGAAAGTTCATATTCTCACATGAAGGGTAGGTAGCTAAGGGCCACACTCTCCAAGATTTTTGCCAGTCTCTGACCAGCAAGTTTAGTCTTTTGATAAAGCGGCTACTAACATTTAGGAAAACATCTTTTTATGAGCATATACATTCTATTCTCGTGTTAATATCTAGAAACAGAATGTCTAAATCAAGTAGTAGAGGTCTATTTAACTTTTGAAAAGACTACCAAATTGTTCTCCAAAGTGGTGGTGCTGCTGCTGCTGCATGCCATTGAGCCAGCTCCGACCCATAGCGACCTTATGCCCAACAGAAGGAAACACTGCCCGGCCCGGCCCCACCCTCACAATTGTCCCTATGCCCGAGCCCATTGTTGCAGCCACCGTGTCACTCCACCGTGGTGAGGACCTCCCTCTTTCTCCCTGAGCCCGCACTTTCCCGGGCACCAACACCGTGAGCTGCTCTGCAGGAGTAAGAGGGGGCTGTCTACTCCCTGCCGGGGTGACAGCCTTGGAAGCTCATCGGGTCAGTTCCCCCCTGGCCTCCAGGTCCCTGTGAGTCAGCAGCAACTCAATAGCAGTGAGAGTTTTCCAAAGTGCTACCACCATTTTTTACTTTCATGAGCAATATATGAGAGCTTCTGAACTTGATCCTCGTGGGCCTCTTCTAAATCAATTATAGCCCTGAGTGCGTACAATGGATAAAACATGATTTCAAGCTTCCTGGGGTAGGTAGAATCATTATATTTTGCATCTCTGGAATACCTACGTAGGTATTTTCCATTTAAATTTTTTTAAAGATTATGATCTTGTAATGAACTCATAAAGTTATGTGGCACATACAAGGACACACAGTGACTAAGGGGCAGTTCTGAAAGTGGAACACAGGGGGTCTGGCTCCAAGGTCTATTCTGCTGAGAATAATTTTTTTAAAACCCTTTATGTTACATTTTATACTTACTTAATTTTTTTCTCCTATTGTAAAACTTATGCACGCCTATTAAGAAAAATGTGATAAACACAGAAAAAATAGAAAAGAACTATAACATTTCTCACAAAGCTTCCTTGGAAATATTACTAGTAAATATTCTGAATTCTTTCTTCCCTAATATTTTATTGACCAAAACCTTTTTTCTTGCCTGGAATATTAATTTTGGTGAAACTCAGAATTGTCATTATCATGCCAATATCTACAATGAAGGCGGTGTCTACAGGGAACTGCGAATGTTAAGCATAAAGTGGTCCAGGATTCAGTCCCTCACAGAATGGCCACACGGAATGGAAGATACATCCAGGTTGCAGTACAGCACTGATGAAACACATAACTATCCTCTAGTTCTTACAATTAGTTTTTGCCTCACTAATCTTTCTAGACCTGCATATGCACACTTGTACAATCAAGATCTTCTGATGCACGAAATCCAAGACAGATAAACCCCTCAGAAATAATAATAGGAATAACAATTCCCTGAGGGCGTTGGGAAGAGAGAGGGGCAAGAGGGCAAGGAGGAACTAATAGCAATGATGAATGTATAACCCCACTCAATAAACAACGGAGTTCTAGGTGAATGGAGACACTGGATGGTATAAGATAAGGCAATAATAATAATAATAACAATGTATAATAGATTAAGGGTCCACGGGGGGCAAGGTAGGGAGGAAGGGGATAAAGGAGGGCTGATATCAAAGAGTTCAAGAAGAAAGAAAGTGTACTGAAAATGATGGTGACAGCAATTGTACAAGTATGCTTGATCTAATGGAACTATGAATTGTAATAATACCTGTAAGCGCTCCTAATAAAATGTTTTAAAAAAAGAGGTCCAGGACTGCTGTGGTTTCCGTTCTGAAGTGTACCTCGAACAATGCCCGACACTCCACCGGTGCTCCAAAACCATCTGGGAATGCATTTAGCTCTTCCACTATAGTCGACACG